GGACAGGGTGATTTCTTTCGTGAGGAAAGAAAAGGGATTATTTTGGTCTCTTGTGAGGGGACCCCCTTGCCCCTCGTAAATGCCCCCCCCCAGAGTTCTCCACCAAAATGGGGGGCTTTCTAGTAGTGGTTAGGATGACCAGATGTCCTCCTCACCTCAAAGGAGGACAAGGCACCGCAAAATGGAGGACCTTCCAGAAGAAAAATTAAGGACGTGACCAAATAAAAAGCTCAAAAGATTCGTAGAAATGTAAATCCGTGCTTCTTGGTCATGCTCAAAATGGAGGGCCTTTTTGGAACGGAAGAAGGTTGGAATGGAGGACATGTCCTGGAAAAAAGGAGGATGTTTGATCACCCTGTTCTTAGCCCTGCTCAAAATGGGGGACCTTTTTGGGATTCTCCTGGACAGAAGAAGGCTGGAATGGAGGACATGTCCTGGCAAAAGGGAGGATGTTTGATCACCCTGTTCTTAGCCCTGCTCAAAAAGGAGGACCTTTTGGAATTCCTCCTGGACAGGAGGCTGAGATGGATGGAGGACGCGTCCTGGAAAAAGGAGGACGTGTCTGCTTGAGATGGGGGTGTTTTAGCCACCTTTCCTCAGACTGAAAACTGAGGAGGAAGTAACTTCCCTGAAGGGAAGAGAGTACTTCTTCTGCTTCGGGTGGGGAAGGAGGTGGAGGGGAATAAACAAGGCCCTTCTGTTTTATGGAACAGATTTTATCCTAAAAATAGGGAACCTGCATGTGTTGTTGTGTGCCTTCAGGTCGTTTCCCACTGATGAGGTTTGCCTGGCAAGTTTGTCATTCCCACTCTCTGAGGTTGAGATAGTGTGACTTGCCCAGGGTCACCCAGTGGGTTTCCATGGCAGAGCCAGAATTCGAACCCTGATCTCCCAGGACCCAAGTCGAACACTAGACCATGCAAGGACCCCTTTCCTCCCTGCCTTTTTCACTTCTTTTTTCCCTTCTAAAGTAGAATGGGGTTTTTTTTTCCAGAGGCATAATTGGGGAAGAAAAAAATCCCCTTCCCTGTCTTGGCAGAGGATAAAAGGTTTCAATTCTCTGAAAAGTCCATTATGGCTACTTTGCCAAGGCTATTACATTCAAAATGTACTCCTCTAGGACTTATTGTTCAGGTGCCTGCAGCAGCTGTTTTGTGGAGGAAAAAGGAGAGGAATCAAGATAGACCTTGGAAGTTAACTTTCTGAGATAACATGAAGAAAGCAAATGTATATTTTAGCCAGGCTGTGACATAGAGCCGAAGTGAAATTTTGCAAGAGGTATTGAAATAACTGGTATTTTGCAAGCGGTAATTGAAGTTAGTAATCTCCATATAGAACAACATGGACAAGGTGGTGGGCATTGTAAGGTACAAACACCGGTTTTTGCTAGACTTTATTAAGATAAAGGAGTGCTGCATTTGTGGTTTGTGATTTCTATTATAGATACAAATAAACTAAAAAGTAGTGGTTAAGGCAGTGCTGCTCTCCCAGAGCTAATTTAACGGTGGCTAAATATAGATGGTGAGTAACCAACAATCCAAACAACTGTGGACAGTACCGTATGTTTTTCTTTAAGGAATGAATTGTTTTGGATATTAGGAAAATCTGATGTTCAGGAAAGGTGTAATTTTTTTAAAAAATGTCTTGCTTATTGTGTTGGATGAATATCTCAAGTTTAAACATAAAATTGTAGAAATAGATTTTCTGTATTTTTAATTATCTTAACATTTCCGCTCATGCAGTGTTGCTTTGAAAGTTATTTGTAGTAGCTTCCCACACTCTTTGCCTTTTCCAGTATCAGACAGTCACAGGTGTTATGTTGTGCTATTATGGTCAAATTATTGATCTTGCCCTAAGCCAGAAAAAACAAGTGCTGATGCCACATTTTTCAACAATGTTTTAAGGACTCCAGACAGTTATCCTCTCAGGATATTTTCCAGACTTATTTAATAATAGCCGTATACAGTACTGTTACCCGAAACCTCAGACAGGCCCTTCAGAGTGAGGATTCGTACCCAGCAAATATAGCTCTAACATAGGTCTGGATTTACATTGTGATGAAATTTCACGGTTGGATGTAGCAGGAAAGAAAGGGGAAAGCTGCAGACCGATTCATGCTCTCATGCCACTCCTACCACATTCTTAAGCAGCACCCAACATTCCTATTATCTGTTCCACCCCATGCAGTATTTTTATTTATTTAAATGGATTTCCCCTCCCTGCCTTTCCACTTAAGGGAGCTAACAACATCATAAAAGACAAAGTAAACCATAGAGCCATTATGAACATCACTGCAAATACACAAATAAGACCATTACAGTCAAAGTAGTCAATAAACATTTTAAAAAGTTTTAAAGGTCAATTTAAAGAGATGTGTCTTTGCACCTTTAAACTGGTTGCACCTCTGAGAAAAGCACATTCTACATCTTTGAGACTTAACTAAAGAAAGAAGTTGGCAGCATGAGCTTTCCTAGATTTAGGGCCTTTACAGACTGACAGAAATAATCCAGCTTGAGACCAGTTTAACTGTCCTGGCTCAGTGCTAGAGAATCATGGGAATTGTAGTTTTTTTCTGGGACATTGAGCCTTCTCTGTCAGAGAGCTCTGGTGCCCCAATAAACTACAGCTCCCATGATTCCCTAGCACTGAGCCAGGGCAGTTAAAATGGTCTCAAACTGCATTATTTCTGGCAGTCTGTAAGTTCTACTTCTTCAGATGCTTTGGTAAGCCAAATGCATCTGAGGAAGTAAATTTAAGTCTAAGAAAGTTCATGCTGCCAACTTCTTTCCCTCAGTTATTCTCAAAGGTGTTACAAGATCAATACATATTGACTAACATGGCTATATCTTTGAATTCTACAGCCTGGCAGCCCTGCTGGAGAAAGCCGCCTTCTAAGTGCGTGAACCTCCACAGGTTTTGACATTCTCAAGAGGGCCTCTCTTGAAGATCTGAGCATATGGACATAGTCATGATGAGGCAGGGTGTCACTTAGGTAGCCAGACCACACCCATTTGTTTATTGTTGTTCTGTATTTTCAAGTCATTTCCGACTTATGGCCACCCTTAGACAAACTGTCATGGTTTTGTTTTTTATTTTATTTTTTTGTTTTTTTGCAATATTTGTTCAAAAGAGGCTTGCCATTGCCTTCCCAGAGGCTGAGAGCTTGTGACTTGCCCAAGGTCACCGAGAGGGTTTAATGGCCAAGCTGGGAATCGAACCCTGGTCTCCAGAGTTGTATTCCAACGCTCAAACTATTAGACCACACTGGCTTAAATATTAAAGCCAACACTCTCAATTAGGGTCAGAAAGAAGCTGGCAATTTCTCAGCAATGTGATGATTGTGCCATGCACCAGTTAACAGTTTAGTTCCCGCATGTAGGAGCATCTAAAGCTTCTGGTCACTGACCTTTTAAACTTTTGACTACCTTGATTTTAAGGCTCTTATTTTGTATATTTGCAGTTATGTTTATAATAGTGCTATGGTTTCCTTTGTTTTTAATAATGTTATTAGATCCCTTAAATGGAAAGGCAGGGCAGGAAAATCCAGTTAAATAAATAAAAATATGGAGTGGAATAGATAGGAGGAATGTTGGGTGCTGCTTAAGAATGTGGGAGGAATCTGAAGCTCCTGGTCACTCTTCAAGGGTCACCCCAGGTAGTGTACTTTGCAGTAACCAAGGTGTGCAGGCTATACTATGGTACTTTTCTTCATGGCAGTTCCAGTAGGTAACAGAATGGCAGTGAAGCCTTCTGAACACTAAATACTGAGAACAAAACAAAAGAAGAATGCTGTTGTCCCAGCTTGCTACTTGGAAATTTTATGGGGGTGTTTGGTTGGCCAGTGTAGGAATTTGAATGCTAAATTGGATGGAGTCAAAGGTCATGACAAACTAGAGAGGACAAGGTGTGGTCTGATCCCTAAAATACCAATCAGTTCTTTGCCTGCACAGTTGCTGCTACAGTACAAGAACAATTTCACAGAATGTGAACTAGTGATTCAGGGTTATAAACCGATCCAAGCCAGAGGTGGGTTGAGCACCAGATCCTAAAATTATATTTCTATGATGTCAGTATGGTAGACAGTGCTCAGAAAAGCACTGTTCAAAAGGTTATAATCTGAACGACTGCTTTCACCACTGAAATCATTTAATGGAGATCAGATAATTAAATGCATAATATCGTCCAAAGTCCTTCCTGCAATCGAAATCACATTTAAATATGGAAAAAATTGTAGTTCCACAAAGTACTTGGAAGAAAACTTGGCAGTAAATAATACGTGAGATACAGTTATTTAAATCTCACAATGTTTTGTGTGAAATGTATCACAACAGACATTATTACAAAGTTTTAAGTTCTTAAGAAACCTTTTGTGAAAGCTTTGTTTTTGAAGTTTCATATTCCATAACAAGAGTCAGTGTGGCATAATATAGTAGTTGGATTGTTGGGCTAAAACTCTGGGAGAGCAGGGTTCAAATTTGCACTCAGCAATGGATGCCCACTGGTTAATCTTGGGCATATCATGAGCGTTAGAGGAAGGCAGTGGTAAATCTTGAATAAATCTTGCCAAGAAAACCTTGTAAATATAAGCCACGCTCTCTCAGATCAGAGGAAGGCAAAGGCAAACCCCCTTTGAACAAATCTTGCCAAGAGAAACCCATGTAGGTTCACCTTGGAGTGGCGGTAAGTCGGAAAAAACATGAAGGCACACGACAATAACAACAACAACCTTGTTACTATATATTTAAAAAACATGCCTTAATTATGGTTTATTATATTTCTAATTGGGTATGTGTGTGCAGTTGTGACTTTCTATAAAATCCTTTCTTTTCCTGCTGGGGCTGATGTCTGCTTCTGCCTACTTTAGTTTTTCTGTAGTGTTTTATATGCCTACATATTTGGTGAAAATATTTTAACCATCCTGCCGTGCTTTGGGTAGACTTTGAATTTTCTAAAATATTTAATCACGTGATATATTTTATTAAATTATATTTTATTAAATTGTTATTATTTTAAAAAAGAGTTGTATTCTTTGAAAAACAGTTAAAATGCTCACTGGAATTCGAGATGAGCTGCTTAGTTCCAGAGATATAACTGAGTAATGGCTCACAGTCAGCCATCGGATGGGGCAATGGAGGTCCATTTGGCTGCCAATTGGGCACAGGATGGATGATGGTTCTGTTACCCTCTTGCCTGCTAATGAGTCTGTGGCAAGAAATTATGACAGCTTCGCTGACAGGGGAGGGCTGGAAATGTCCTTGTAGGTTGGACTGGTTGCTGCTGGCTGTTAAGGTGGACTTTGAATATGTTGGATCAGTAAATACAGAGCAATTATGGATCTGTAACCTTGAGTTATGAATCTGTAGTTGCGCTACCGGATGCCAGACACTGTTCTGGAGGTGTAGATGGTAGTGGTTGTTATGGCTTTTAGAATGTCGTGTACACTACTAAGATCTTGCAGAGGCAGGGCTGTGGCTTCTCTGATGAAGTCCATCCATCTGGAATGTGGTCTTCCTCTTTCCCTACTCCTTCTCCCTTGCCAAGCATTATTACCTCTTCTAGTGAGTCGTGTGTAATGTATAGACAAGGTCTTATACATTTAATGGTTGACAGTACTGAATTGCATAAGGATTAAGTGTTTGTAGAATCAGAAATCATTCTAACAGGTTTTTAAATTGAAGTTGTACATTAAATTAGTAGCTCCATAAGACAAACTTGAGAAGGGTTGATTCCAGACTTATATGAGAGATTACAGTGGAATATTTGGTAGTAGTTTTCATGGTGTCTTCATTTCAAATGGATGTTTACGTATATCCTGTTTGGAAATATATTTACCGGTCTTCGTTTTTGACTTTATTTCTTGTCCTTCCATGAAAATGCCCTAACAATTGATTGGGAATCATTGATAGATGGCATTCATAAATATATAACCATGAACTTTAAAAAAACATGTAAAATCTATAGCTAAAACACAGTGTGCCTGTTCGTCTTATAGCGGACATATGCTATATACACTCATCTCTCCCTGTTCACGGACTTTTAGTCAGTAGTCTTGGTCCTCAATGGATGGCAAGCAGGGAGGGATAATATGGCATGTGGGCACGGACACATGCCATCATTGAAATCAATGGGGCTTGGATATTTGCAATTTTCCCGATTTGTGGGGTTTTGGTGGTGGTGGTCCCAGAATGGATCCCCCATGAATTAGGAGGGACAACTGTGATGGCTTATTTAGGACAGTCCAAGTGGCTTTGGCAGTGTTTCTTCAAATTACTATTATAGTCCTAAATTCATTATCATTTAAGTTCATGTGCATTTTAGAAAAAGAAAGAAAGAAAGAACTAAATGTAAAAAACATAGAAGTGTTCTGGAATGTAAATTCAGTTTTGGTGTTATGTTAAGAACTCCTTACAAGGTAAACGTAGTGGCAATACAGAGAAGTAATTAATCCAATACTGCACATATTTACTCAAAAGTTTCACTGTCCCCAATAGGCTTACTTCTTAGTACCTGTTAGATTCCAGTTAAATTTTCTGAAGTTTCCAGATGTAATGGAGACAAGCAGAACACAGTTTTGCATTATGATGCTAGAAATAAATTGAAGGCATGGGTGAATCCTATCTGCCATCTTTCTTTTTATAAATTAATGTTGTGTGATAGATATTTTCTCTAATTATTTGTGTTCTCAA